AGCCCCTCTCTTTACTTTAGATAGCAGTGTTTTTAAGTACTAGAGAACTATACTACAGGACTAGAGTAAATCTATTCTAAATGTGATGGCACATTTCATATCAATTCACAACACATAAATAGAATTAAATGTTTTGGATAAACCTGTATTTCTACAGGAACACTGTTTAAAACTTCATGTAACAGAAGGATGTATTTGCCTCAGACCTGAGATTCCATTTGCTACTACTCATGTGAAAATTGTATTGACAAGCTCAAGAACTTTGTGCAGGGTCTCAGTTATCTCTGAATGGAGATAGGCTTCCTTTTCCTCTATAATCTTGCTCAGGAAAAAAATTCACAGTATTCCACAATTTACTACAGTAAAGTTTATAGTCCTACCTAAGCTTTGTCCTCAGTTTAGTCTTTTTCCTGTCACGTTTTTGGTCTTATCTAGTTCTCCATTTTTATTATCTTTCAAATTTTGATCAGGCACTGACTTTGTTTGCCTGGATTTTATCTTGCTTATTACTTTTCAAAAAAGTAAACTCAAACTATACAGGGTTCATGGTTCAGAGAGAAATTTGTACCATTTACTTAGAAAAAGTATAGCTATCTTCCAGAACATACTTGATTACAAACTGATAACCAAAGGAAAAAAATGTATTAGTAAGGAGATACCACTTCCTGAATGGTTTAATACAAAGCATATAATATCCTTCAGTGCTGTCACATAGCCTCAATATTGGGACAGTATTATATAGGGGTGATTCAGCCCAACTTTTCACAGACTGTTAAAAATGTCTACTAATTAATATTGTTGCGTGGGGCAGGGGGGTTGGAGTAGGAAGGTAGAGGAAGAAAGTCTGACTTTACATATATTTTAGAAGCATTGTGAGAAGGGGGACTTTCAAGTTCACTCGACAAAGTGCTTTAAAACGTTTCCAAGTAGAACTTCTGCTTGAAATGAACGGCTAATATTAACTTATAACCAGATATGCCAATTTGTATGCCATGTGCTGAACTTCATAAAAAAAGTTATAAACTATTTCATTCATTACATGTAGTCCTTATAATCCTTTCATTCTCAACCTGGTTAGTAAATCCTTTACTCAAGGATAATGCATAGGTAAACAATAACTAAAGTCTAATTACCACAGTTTCATAATGGTGGAATCCAAATTAATAAGGCTGTCAAACATAGAGAACAGGGATGAGGAGGTTAATTTTTACTGAGCCTCCTTCATGTGCTGGATAACCTATTGATGGTATCTCATTTAATTCTGAAAACATCATTCTGAGTAGGAATTAATATTCCCACTTAAGAGATGAGGAGAATACAGCTCTGGGAGATTAAATACCTACCCAGGACCATCTAGGTGACTGACAGAGCTGGGATTAAGCTCATGTCAGAAGGCTCAAAGCCCATGCCTCTTTCTGCCATGTCCTGCGTTTCTCTCTAGTTCTCTGTAGACTGTGTTCATACAGTATTTGATGTTTAGAAATCAAACCTCTTAAGAAGTAATATCAGAAACTGCAGAACATTTCTAATACATTATTAGTAATTCTGTTACATTTAACACTCCACCACGGACTAAAAATGCCTTTCCACGGCCGGCCCCTGGCTTAGCGGTTAAGTGCGCGCGCTCCGCTACTGGCGGCCCGGGTTTGGATCCCGGGCGCGCACCGACGCACCGCTTCTCCTGCCATGCTGAGGCTGCGTCCCATATGCAGCAACTAGAAGGATGTGCAACTATGACATACAACTATCTACTGGGGCTTTGGGGGAAAAAAAAAGGAGGAGGATTGGCAATAGATGTTAGCTCAGAGCCAGTCTTCCTCAGCAAAAAGAGGAGGATTAGCATGGATGTTAGCTCAGGGCTGATCTTCCTCACAAAAAAAAAAAAAATGCCTTTCTAAAATCATAAACTGACTAAGTCATTTACACTCTCATGACAAACAGTCTGCTATAAAGTAGCAACTTATGGACAACATGGTGATCTCAGCCCCTCAGATATCAGTGCTCCAATCACAGCATGGACTTCGCAGTCCGGAGAACACTGAAAACACGAGAGGTGCCTGGCTTGTTTTGAATTAGTAACCTGCAATACCGTTAATTAATTACTTATTTTTTCTACTTTGCTTGCTTCTTCTGAAAAGAATTTGAAGTGGCTTGCTGAGAACAAAGACTGTAACAGAAAATAAATGACAGGTTTGTGGGATGTGGGGGGTGTATAATAAATCTGTTCTACACTGGAGTTAACACAGATTTGTCTGGAGAGATGTGACAGGATCTTGGATTAATTTACTTTGGTGGACATTGAAATAGTATGAAAAACTGAGAGGCTAAGAAGGTTTAAAATGGTAATGTGTAAGAAAATTGTTTAGGAAACCTTTTCTTCTGAGATACCACAAAGATAAACACTAGGGGAAATGGTCCCACAGTCCACATTAGTAAGAAGGATTTAATAAGATTTTACTATAATAAACAAATTGTTTATGGAGTCAGTCTTTCTCTTCACTTTACTAAAATGTCAGGCATTGCCACAGTGTATAGAAGGGAACCTAATGCACTGTTTACCTTTTTAAAAGCTGAAGTCTGATTATTAATGCACAAGATTTTATTTCTCCAACATTACTGAGGACTCACGGGTTCTATGTAAATAAAAATTACATCATCATTGGTTCACTTGACTAAGAGTACAAATTTAAAAAAAGTTTTACCAGAAATCTTTTCAAATAGAGCACACTTAGTCTTACACAGATATTGAACATAGTTTAATTTTTTTCTTGATGAACCAGGATTACCATGACATCAGGCAAAGGCTATTTGGCTTGAAGTCAGACAGACCTGTGTTTGAAATTTTGCCTTTTCTGGTGTTACAAACTAAGAACACTGTTTGGCTTGCTGGGCATCATTAAATAAGATATGAGGAAGCCTTTCCTTTGTTTTGTGAGCTATAGGAGAAAAAACAGCACTTGTGAAGTAGTACTTTGTTTTTCTTATGTGCAAAAGTGAGGTAGGTCCTAAAAAGACCAGAAGTTTTTAAAAATGTTAAGTGCCCTGCAGCTTTTAAGGCTGTTATACCTTGCTTTTTAATGATAAATATTTCATGTGTTGTTATTAATATTTTATTGTATGTTTTCAATTTTGCACCTCTGAATGTGTGCTTTAAATTATTTTTTCTGAATTACTAAAAATGTTTTTAGTGTATCTTGATATCAAGTTTTGATATCAAGGTTTTGAGAATGCAAAATTACAATGTCACTGGTAAGGGGAATATTTGAATTTACAGAAACAACTTTATGCTCCCTATTAGGAATTCATCTATTGCCTACAATAATGAAGAAGAATCTGGATTTTTGAAACACATATTATTATTTTATAGTGGATGAACACCAGTTGTTTACTTAAAAGAAGCAAAATAAATGTTTCTTGGACTCTTAGATAATGATTTTTTTTTTAAGTGCATCTCCCCAAATACTAGTGGGTAACTCAATCTCAGGAGTTTGTGAACACAGACGAATCAGAAGATTAGGACCATTGTTTAATGTGAAATGTGTTAAAAGTACATGCCTTTATTCTCCTGAGACCATAAAAAGATATTTAGACAAGGCATTTAGGACAGGAAGAATGTTTCCAGGAAAGGGAGGCCATAATCTTTTCTTTAGTTAAGTTTTTTGTACAATGCCACATAAAAAAGACAGTTTCATCTGCACACAGGTTGTAAAACAGTTCAATGTCTACATCTTGTATTTGTAGCAGTTCCCTTTATATCATAAAAGCCCTATTCTGCTGTTTCTAATTATTTTTTGAATAAAATGTCAAAAATATTTAGGTTTATCAACCTAAAGAATGTTTTGTCTGGTCTCAGAAAGATTAGAGAATAAAATGTTTTGTGAATAGGAGTATGGAATTCATTTTCTTATCAAACGTAGAAACATTACGCCCAGAGTGTATCCTGACAAGTATGTATTAGGCATTATAAGCAATGAGTTTAAGGACCTCCCAGTCATTTGGAGAAAGACAATCTTTTTATTGTGCTGACATAAATGCTTTTGGTTTCCTGCCATTAAACCTAAGTGCCAGTGGAGGTTTGAGCAGAGTTGAAATAGCTTTATACAATATACTCTTTAAGAGAATAATATATACCTGTAAGAGTAATTTTTATTTCCTAAGGAGATTAAAAATTATATGTTTCTTCGTCATATGTGGGGAATGTGCATAATTATCTCTTCCTGGTCAAATATAAATTTTTCTACCTACTTTAAACATTCTGCATATTGCTTGCTTAGTGAGCCAATTCTACTCATTGTGAGGGAGAAAAAAGCCCAGAAGACCCCTACTAATTTCTTCTAAATTGAATGGTAGTTTCATGGAGAAGTTTTCATTTAATTTATATGATCAGATTGTGGTAAGTAGAACCAGACCATGGGGTTAAACACTTCCATATGTTATAAAGGCCCAGAACTTTTCCTGAAAGGAGACACCATTCTGAACTCAGACATTACCTGCTGCTTCCAGAAATGGCTGCAACTCCACCCCGATTTTACCCTCTCCGCAGCTCTAAATGTCACATGTAAGCACATGGAGGAGACGCAGTCCCCTGGCACTTCCTGTTGCCTAGGAGGGCCCCTACCTCTGCCACACTCCTGGACTCCAAATTTTTTCCCAGTCATTGCCACTTGCCTTCATCCTCTGTGTATGAAATGAAGAATTAGATAAATGCAGGGAAGGAAGGCAGAGTTAACAACATTCTGGAAATCTGGTTCCTGGGTTAGAGCCACCCTCAGCCCTAGTGGGATCTACAAATGCTTTACAACTCACCACTTGATGATATGACATTTTGGTGACTATAACCATCCCCTCTTCATTATACGCTCCAGAAGCTTGTGAGACCTCAATGAGTCATGAAGAATCCTAATTTCAAATCCAAAGAATCCAAAGTGATGATAACAAAAAATAATAATTGATATCTGAACAAAGGTTAGTTATTTGACAATGGATAAAGATTGGTATACCTTCCCTTCCTCGGGGCTTTGTTGACATGAATTGTGAACGTCGTCTTCTCTTACTAATTTTCCAGGCCAAGAAGTAAGTCCTTTGATTTGGCCCCAGACCAAGTCGCCAACGTTGAACGTCCTTGGCCTATAATGTATCAACTCATTTGAAGAAGGGGAGTCTGGATTTCTTAGGTCATCTTCACTACTAATGCTTTTAGCGTCTGAAGGGCTAGGCACACACCCATTAATGCTTTTGGCATTAAAGTCTCCATTGTAATGGATGTAGTCTTTGACCAGAGAACTCTCCAAACTATTTGAGGAGCTCGGAGACTGCTCCTCTAGGACCAGGTCTTGTCTTGTGGTGCTCAGCAGCTCTCCAAAGCCCCGACTCTGTCGAGGTCTATTCCCATTAATGTGCGCACATCTTTCCACAGTGTTCTCTAGTCTCTCCTTAAAAGTCATCATAGTTCTTTTGTAGTTATTATACCTGAAATTTTCCTCCAGAATTTTATCCCCTTGACAGTTTCTTGGTGGTAACAGTATTGGGTGCTGTTCCCCAGGCAGAAATGGCAGTGTAGAGACATTATTGGACCTTTCGTGACAAGGACTACTGTGGATATGGCCTGGATGATCTAAAAATTCCTCGCACTTCCACCTGTTTCGCTCCCCTCCAGGGCTTTGCTCCCCATCCCACTGTTTTTTGGATGTGTGGCAACTTGCTGACTTGAAATATTCAAACCCATCTCCTTCGTTTGAGTTTTTCCCATGGTCCAGATTCCTGGGCAGCCGAGCCCCTCTTGCACTCCTCAGCCTACCATCATGATCGACACTGCCCATATTTCGTCCATGAATGACCGCACTGACAGCACTGGGGAGACTTAATGGGTCACCAATTGAAGCAGTGAAGGCACTCATGGCACTCAGAGCTGGAATGGGGCTGATCTGAGTTGTACTGTTGACCGCAGTGGTGATGACAACCTGCATTCCTTTGCTGGCTGCATCAACAACTGCCTTGTAAATGGCATCTACAGAAGCATCACCTTGGCCACCCACAACAAGGCCATCCTTCACCTGCTGACCAAGAGATGGGTCAATCCTCGGTTGCAACTCACAAGATGTATCTTGGAAAGGCGGAAGTGTAGTGTTCAGATTCTCAGGAAGTGCTGTGAGCCCCGGCTGAGAGCTTATTCTTTTGTTTAGGAGAGCTGCATCTTCCTGCATCCTCACCTTAAAGAAATAGACAGGAAGCAGTGAAAGAGAGAAAAAAATTTAAAGATCTCAAAGACCATAACTTTAATATTTACCAAAAGACAAACAAATATAACAGGGAAGGAAATATAAAGAAAGAATAAGGCTCAAAAATGAAAAAAAAAGTCACTGTGTATAGAAAAACATATTTTGATTATATTTGGGTACTGTTTCTTTGGTTGACATTATTCAACCTTTTTTTTTTTCTTTAATCATCATTACTACACATTCTCTAGAAAAACTGAAGTTGAGGTGGTTGGACACAAAATGTTTTCAGGTGATGACACTAACTACACTACATTACATTCCCAGTAATGACTCTAACTACATGGAGTAGTTTTGCAACTTGGGATTCAAAGAGAGAAACAAGTCAGTGACCAGCACTGCTCAAACTACAAAGGGAACCAGATTTTGAAAATGATTTCTAACTCACTGATATTTCTACTGAACTAAGTGAAATACAATATAAGATAAAACAAAACAAAATACATACACTCCTTTATTAACAATAAAATATTTCTGATATGACACTATATTTTTGAAGTCTTCAGATAGGGTAGTAACACCTACTCTTCAACCTTACCAGGCTACCGGGTGAGGGACACTCCCATGCTATCAACAGTGACAATGGCTCTCTAAGAAGTGGTTCTCAATAGAGAAAAGGTGAAGGGAGGAAATACCCACCAGGGAAGAATATCAATGCTCAGGACAGGAAGGATGAGTGCAGTTTGAAAAAGTCCTGAGGTTGTTCTAATTTCACCAACCCCGTCTAAGAATTGCTGTTCCAGATCCTTGATACTTCAGATTTTCCCCACAACAATCACTCCCTCCCCGTCTTCACATCCTTCCCTACTAAACCAGAGCCTGGGATCCATTAGCACATCAACCACTCTCTTGTCATTCTCCCCTTGTCTACACCTACCAGATAAAATCCCAATCTTGGATCAGTTTAACTGCCTGCCTTATCTGTATCTACAGTGAGGATGCTGAGTATCTGTTTACAGGAACTTATGGCTTCCAACTGGGGCTTATTGTTCCCATCAATCCTACGATCCTCTAGTTAGGCATCACTCTCCTCCACAACTATTCAAATCTTCATCCACTTCTTTTTTTTTTAAACTTTTATTTATTTATCTATTTATTTTTTCCCCCAAAGCCCCAGTAGATAGTTGTATGTCATAGCTGCACATCCTTCTAGTTGCTGTATGTGGGATGCCGCCTCAGCATGGCTGGAGAAGCGGTGCGTCGGTGCGCGCCCGGGATCCGAACCCGGGCCGCCAGCAGCAGAGCGTGCGCACTTAACCGCTAAGCCACGGGGCCGGCCCTCATCCACTTCTTAAAGCTGGCTGCTATACCATCTCTGGCACTATTTTTAGTGGATAACCTTACTTAATAGAGAAAATGGAGTTCATAGGTCAAGAATTCTCGTAATTCTTATACTCTGCTATTCCCTGCCCCCAGCAGCACACAGTTCCCTGCAACTGCATGTGTCCCAAATCCTGTCCTGCTTCCCAGTGTAACAGGGGGCCCTTCTGCTCTCTGAGGGTAAGTTCTCCATTTATGCTCTGGATGCCAAGCCACTCCTCAAGGATCTTGCCTCATCTGTTATCCCTTCTCTTATGTTCAATATCTTCCACTTTTTTGAGCTCTTTCCTTTAGCATACAACTATGTGCATAGCTTCCATATTTTAAAAGTTTGCATTCAACCTATGCCTGCCTAGGGGCACCACTCTATTTCTCTTATGTTCTTCATAGTTAAGTTTTTGAAGGAGTAATCCACACTCTTTAATTCCTAATCTTTTTCATTCCTCCATTATTGCAATCTGGCTCTTGCTCCCACCACTCCACCAAAACTGCATTCTACCAAGTCACTGGTGATGTCCTAACTGCTACATCTAATGGATTCTCTTCAGGCTTTATCTACTTGATTCTCAGTGATATGGTTGAACACTTCCTCTTTCCTTCTAAATTATTTTATTACATAAGACATATACGAATATTTTCTCATTGTCAAAAAATATAAAAATTTTCCTCATCACTGCTCCCCACCAAACCTGTACTTTCCCATCCCACTCCAATCCCCTTTCCCTTCTCAGAAGTAATCAGTGCTGGAGTGCATCCTTGCAGACACTCACTTTTAATACATTAAAGTGTGTAGGTGTATATCTAGTTTCCCTTCTTCATTCCTTCCTTTCTCCCTTCCTTCCTTCTTTCTTTCACATAAATGGTGAGTATTTTAATATTGTTTTCCAATACTACAGTATTGAAGTCTTGCAATCTTGTGGATCTTTCTGTGTCAGATTATACAAGTCTACCTAATCATTTAAACTACTAGATAGATGGATATAGCATAACACATTTAACTATTCCCCTACTGATAGACGATTAAGTGGTTTCTAATTTTTTCTACCACATATCATGTTGTAATAAACATTCTGGTATGTGCCCTTTTGTTCACATTTGAAGATTTCTTTAAAATAAATACATGGAAGTTGAACTGAGTCAAAGGACATGTATATTTAAAAACCTGATAAACTATCAAATTACCTTCCAAAAGGAATGTATCAGCATACAATCAGACCACCAATACATCTAAAAGAATCCATTTCCCCACACCACTGTCAGCAAGGAAATCATCAATGTGATGGACATAATAGAGCTGTAATTTGTATAACTCTGATTATTCTTTTCATATGTTCATTAATAATTTATCTTTCATATTCTGTGAATTGTCTGTTCATATCTATTGCTCATTTTTCTAATCAATTATCTTTTTTTCTTCCTGACTTGTAAGAGCTCTTTTTATATTAATGATGTCAATTATTTGCTATTATTATACAAGTGTCTTCCCCCAGGTTGCCACTTGCCTTTAACTTTGTTTAGAATTCCCTTGATCATACAGAAATTTTAAAGTTTTATGGGTTCAACTCTGTTATTTTTTTTCTTTTTGACTTCTTGGTTTTGTATCTTACTGAAAGAGCCTTCTCTACCCCAAGATTATAAAAAAAACTTCTATATTTTCTTCTTATATTTATTAAGTGTTACTCTTTTCCATCTAGCTCCTTAATCTATCACGAATATATTCAGCTTGTAGAACTAAAGGAAGACCACGTGGTTGAAGCCAGGGAGATAGTGGTGAGAGCTGGGGCTGGAGATCGAGGCCAAACAGGCATGTTAAGGATGAAGATTTTAATCGTGAGAGTAAATCACAAAAGGGTTTAGGAGGGTAACATGATCAGTTTTTACTCTCAGTTCCAAAGGCACTGAGATGCTTCAGGCAAAATAAAATAATCTTCACACAAAAGACTGGAATGTTTAACAATATTCATTATCGAGAAATAACAGTAAGTAGAGGTGAAAGGGCACGTACTTCTTTTTTTCGTCTTTTCCCCCAAATTAAGTGTTTAAACAAACCTAGACATTGTTTTCTACTTAAGTAACCCAGGGAAGGAGAGTACCTGAAAGTTCTGAAACAGACAAGCCATGGGGTTATTGTTAGCTGGGCAAGGAATTGTGGACTGTCCTTGAAATGCCTGGAGGTGCTGGTACCCCTGCAGAAGCTGCTGCTGTTGCTGATTTGGAGGAAACATCTGATTGTTGTTTAACAGCGACTGTAGATGAGTCAGTTGATGGTTATTCAAAGTATTGTTTATTGAGGACATGTCACCTATAGTTTGAAAAACATAAAATGTAAGTCAACGTGATTCTTTGGAGATCCTATGCCTATCTTTGTACCTGAGGATTTCTGAAACAAAGTCTAAAAACTAGACTGTATGTATGGTAATTCCTTTCTCTTTTTCTCCTCAAAGTCTTACTAAGTGGTAAGGAAAGAATAGTTTTATTATTTAATTTTATCTTTCATAGTTAGTTTTTAAATTTTATATCATGGAGAAACTACTTAGTCTTTGCTCTATCCATTAGCCAATTTTTATATATCGAGCGTCAGTGTTATATAATTTCTTGAAACTATTTTTTTAGAGCACCAACAATTAAAGGTTGAAATTAGTCCTAAAGTGTTTTAGCAATCATAAGTATTTGACCAGATGATTAAAACAAGTGAGTTTGATCGGGCTTTGTTGATAAAATTTAGTTCTCAAGCCACAATCATCAATAAACACCACCAAATAAAATCAGATTTGGTTTAGAAATATGTATTTTATTTTTAAATAAAAGCTTGGTCACCTAAAATTAAAACTGTAAAGAAAGCTAACAATACAAAAGAATTCGTTGTCATAATAATTCAAAATAAATATTATATAATTAGATAGGATTAGTTAATAATTAAATTTATATTCAAAATTTAAAATTAACTTGTTTTGAAATTATCTTGAGGACAATAGAAATTGTCTTATAACTTGAAATATATAAATCTGTAATGCTTTTTAGATTATTTAACTACATATTTCAACACTAAAGAGAACTAATTAAACTATATTATAAAGAGGTCCATAAAATCTGGAAACGTATTATTTTTTTATATAGTGAAGGTGCCTTTGATAACATCATGTATATTTGCCTATGTTTCCAGACGTTATGGACACCATCTCTGTACTTCATGATATAGTTACCTGCATCACTCAGTGGAATACACTTGACATTATTTTTAACCTTTTTGTGATAGGATAATCTACATGAAGGATTTTGTTTTTAAGCCTCAAAGTTCTAAAGAATAATACTGTCTAAGGAAATCTAGCAGCAGCTATTGGGGCTGTCTGTTTCTTTGAACTTGGGCAAACTTTGAATGTTTTTATGCCTTGTTTCTTATTTTGCTGGATAAGCATTTAGTTTTGTTTATTTAGGGATCACCTGGAAAAAGAATTCCTCAAACTGTTTCCATCCAGGGTGCAGCTGCTCATACTAACCCTGTGATGCCACACCAACTAAAATTCAAATAAAAGTTATTTTTAAGATGTACCTGTGCTTCATTATTTGAAAAATAAGACTTCATTTGGCTTAAGAGAATGATGGGTAGGTTAGGTTTAGGTGGCATCAGAATTAGAAGAGAAAGCAGATTAAAATGATATTTAGTATTGCTAGAATAGGGGAAAAGGAAAAAGTCATTTTCATGTTTGTATAACTACGGTTGTGTGCGGGTGTTATTATACTTAGTTCCTTAAGCAAGCTGTGACATAACAAAAACATTTTTAAAAATAGCGTGACAAAATGGAGTTTTTAAAAAGGAGAAAATAGAATCAGAAAGACGTTTCTTTTGTAAAAATTTGTGAAAACATTTAACTTACCAAGCAGACCTGTCCCCAGTAGAGGGTTAAGTAGCTGTGGCACCACAGAGTTACTGTTGAGTTTAGCTGGACCAGGTGTATTCCCAGCATTATTAGATATATTCAGCAATGTTTCTGCCATTGACACCACTGCTGTCCCACCAAGTGTTGAGACAGTCAGTGCTGCCACTGCTGATGATGTAGTGGTTGTGGTAGTGGTTGCCTGGGAGGAAGTTGCTATGGAAACCTCTGGATGATTAGCGGTGTTGGCGGATGCCGAGTTCAGGACACCTCCCAACAGCTGGGGATTCAAGGCCATTAATCCTGAGGCCCCAGTGACAGCGGGGAGGAACAGGGGGTTAAAAGTTGTGTCACTGCCTGCAAAGCTTGGTAAAGGGTTCCCCAGGGGGCTGGTTAAAAGGGTCTCAGCTCGGCTGTTCTCTGACTGATTGCTTGGCAAATGGTCTGGTGGGGCTGTCATCTGTGTTAATGAGGGTAAAGGGGTATTTTGCTGTTGCAAAAGATCTGAGATGGTCAGATTGAAAGATGGCAGGGGAAGCATGGCAGCTGCTTGGTTCTGAAGCAGGGCTGCTAAGAGCTGAAAGTGAACAGGTTGCAATACCTGCCCATCCATGTCACCGGAGAGAAAAGCTAAAGCAGCGTTTACATTCGGGTTGAGAAAACCTAAAGGGTGGAGGTTGATCTCAGACTTGCCTTCTCCTGCTGAAGGCTGGAGGATATTTAATAGATTCTGGTTTAGGAGATGCTGTTGATTCACTGGCAAAGAGATAGGTAGAGAACTGAGGAGGCTGGGATTCAAGGGGTGTGGAAGATGGTTGTTTGAAGTGCTGTTGGATGGAAAATGAAGTGCGTGCTCCTGGCCAACAAAAGGAAAATCACTCCCAATGGGCAGCTGACTCTGCAGTGGATTTCCAGCTGCGGTGGTGACTATGACGCCATCTTGAAGAACAGATGTTGTCTTTGTGATGGCAGGATGGTTGGTGCCAGCTATGGCTATGGAAGATGATGGTCCTGAAATACCTAAAATGAAAAAAACACAACCCATTTATTAATTATGGATGTTAAGGAAGACGACCTCATAAAGATACATTGAGATACATTTCAGTTAATTTGTTACATGTCACCTTTGCCCACTTTAATCACATTAATTGTAATCAGAGATAATTTGACATCTGTTAATGAAACTTAAGTTTAACTTTATACTTCCTAACCTACTTTGAAAATACATGTATTGAAGAAATTTAGCATATTTAGAAATAGCTGTTTCTATTCAAACAGCTTGTTTTTCAAAGCTGGACAAGGTGAAGATGGGGGAATCTGTGTTGTAGTTCATTCAATTGGGTAGATAAAAGTAACAAGGCTTCATTTTTCAAAATATGTTTTTACTTTTTTAAAAAAGGCATTGGTCTGCATTTGTAATTATAGTACTTGCTTTTAGGGAAAAAAACAACAACTAGAATATACATGAGAGTATAAAACAAAATAAAAAGTACCTATAAAAATAACTATTAATATTTTAGTGCATAGTTTTCTGGGCTTTTCCCACTTGTATGTATATGCAGATGTATATATACATATGACATATTTTAACAGAAATGGAATCATGCTATTTTATAACTTTTCTTCATTTATCAATATATTGTATCTTCCCATGTTAACTATAGAACCATTTTACTAACATCATGTATGGATATACCATAATTTAATCAACCTACAGTCACAGATATTTTGATTGTTTACAAACTTTTAGTATTTTTTACTATTTTACTAAGCAACACTATGATAAACATTCTTATTAACTCATCTTTGCCAACATGCCCAATTATTTGCTAAGGATAAATTCCTAAAAGTGGAATTCCAGGGACAAAAGGGTTATATATTTTTAAGGCTTTGGATACATATTGTCAAACTGCCCTCCAGCAAAGTTGATCAATATACATGCAATTTACATTTCTATAAACAGTGTATGGCAATGCTCATTTCTCACCAACACTGTGTTTTATCATTATGTTTTCATCTTTGTCACCAAGATAGCATAAAGATACTTTGTACTCATGATTCCTTAAATCAGACCAGTCTTCACCCAAATACCATTCTTAATCTTGAAAGTCTTACACTAGAGATGAAAATTCAGGGAATTTAGTATTTAAAAATATAACATTTCAGTCGCTTATTATAGTTGTTTTGGTTGTTCTCAATTCAAGCTGACAATAGAATTCCCTGGAGTACTTCAAAAAAATAAAACAAAACAACGCCTGGGCCCTATCCCAGACCAGTTGAAAACTCATCTCTTGGGGTCCGCCTGGACAGTAGCATTCTTTGAAATCACCCCTGGTGATCCAGATGCACTAGGGGTGGGGTGGGGAGAGTGAGAATCACATTCTGTTAGAAAGGAACCTATAATCATCTTTTCATAAAAGGTCTTCTCTAAAGAGGTGCACTGTTTTATGTAATACATGTATTTGGCAAATATTTATTATTACAAGCATATGCATTTAATTTTATATTAAACATGTACATGGCATAATGAACAATACCAGTGTTACTGAAAATCTAAAATAATTCAAACACTTTACCGCTGTGCTATGCCATAACAAGAAACTTTATATTTGACTATGTAACCATTGAGGTCTTGTCTAAACACAAACAAATGTTTCCCAAGTTGTAATAGTACAAACGTAATTTTTTATTCTTATTTTCTCCTAATGGAGTAACATAAGAATTTTTCCTTTTTGATATGTACTTTGTATTAATATTTTAAACCACATAGTATATGGATTGACCATATTTAATGAAAACTTCTGATAAAGTTTGGCATTTATATTTTGATTTTTTTCATCTTTTTATATAACACAGGGATGAACATCTTCCTGCCTATGATACTTTCCTACCTTTGAATTTTTCCTAAGGAAAAATCCTTAGGATCTCATAACATCATTGGCATGATTGTTATGAGAATCAAAAATAAGTAAAGGCTTGTAATGTGTAAAAGTCTATACAAATAAAAGGAGTAATCATTGTCATCATTATTATTGACGTAAGTAGTTGTAGTTAGTTAGTTAGTTAGATGTGGTAAAGTAGTAAGTACAAATCAGCATATCCAACGCACTTTATAGAATAACCCTATAGCACGACTTCGCAATTTTTCCCAGCTGTCACGTATGCTTTTTTTTTAAAGCTCTGTGTTTCATTTCAAGAATGAGATTAAAAAAACCCTCTGAAAATACATAAATATTTATAAAATATTGTCAAGAAATAATGACTATGTTCACAGAGTGGGGTAGGAACATCTCGAATGCTGAAGTAGGCATACGGTATACAATTTTTAAAATATTAATTCAGATTTGTAATAAAACAATCAACACCTTAAACATTCCATTGCTTCTTAAATCGTGGTGATATTTCCATAAATAGGAACTGTGCTTTATTTGCATTTGAAAACCATCTTTTTAAACAAACTAATAAAAACTCTTATTTACTAGTAATCACTATCTCTGGCCTTTATTCCTATCAGCTAAATAATAATGACATATTTAAATGTCCAGATCACCATATCTCTAACCACAGTCAGAGCACATTTTCAAAATACTCTAGCGTATATATAGTAAGGCTTTGTAGATGAAGGGTTTCCTTAGAGGTTATTATTTTTTTATCTTTATTTGTAAGAGAGAAGCATCCATATTTAGGATTCAAGAAAGTAGCCATTTGGGTACATTATTCTAAAAATTCTCCATTTAAATATTCCTGAGGAAAGACAATAAAGAAAATATAGTTACTCTGGGTGTATTTTTGCGTTACAAACAAGCAGGTGATGAATATCACAAGCTTCTTAAGGGTAATATGTGGATCAAGGACTATTTTTTATTTTCTCTAATTTTCAATAGATCAATTCAACAAACAGGCGTACTCTGCTGAACAAAAGGACAGAAATGGTGATACAAAACCAAACCAAACCAAACCAAACCAAACCACAACACCCTGCCTTTTCCTGCAGGAACTCAGACTTTAGGCAAAGTGATAAACACACGAATCTCCCTGTCTCTCTTTTTCCTCCCTCAAATATACATTTATTGAAGCTTATTATGAAGAAGGAAATTTTAAAGCTCTTTTCATATAGCTAGTGCAACTATAATGCAATATGCTAAGAGCTCTAACAGGTATATAACACGGGAACAATTGTAAAACTGAAGGTGTTAGGGAAAACTAAGCAAGTGGTAACATTTGATCTGGGATTTGAGAGTGGAAAAGGAGATAGAAAGGGCTTCTAAGTAGAAGCAAAGTAATGTAAAAAAAAAGACAAGGAGATAATAAAGGGCATGGAGGGTAATAGAGTCCTATGCATCCTCAACACAAAGAAATAGTACTGAAAATATTGTACACTGCTTTCCCACACACTCCAGCCCTCCTACTCATGGTTAAACCTGCTGCCTTAGACAAGCAGGGATGAAATTTGAAATCATCTAAACTATTAAAAGCAAGGACCACTTATTTTCCTCTGTATTTACACATGGTTGGCATTCAACAAATGTTTGTTGGTTGAATGAATCTATTAAGAAAATCAAAAAACTTACACTCAACTTCTAGAACTCAAATCATTTGATGCTGTGTGTGTGGCATGTGTGTATGTGGAGAAAGGGAGAGAATACCACCCACTTGCACAGAAAGTGAAAACTGAGTCTCCAGTGTATTGGCCCAATGCCAGGAGATAAGGGCTGCTGGAAAGGAGACGGCTGGAAGATGATGAGTTACTTTAGAAGACTCCCAGGTGTTCCAGGGAGTTAAAATCACCTTATAGAGGAAGAGGTCCATCCCAAAGTACTCTGAGTTCTTAAAGTCACTCCTTAATGCTTGGGTCATTCAAAGAGGACTCTGAAGTTTTATAGCTGGAGGGAAACTGGAGATTGCTTATTTCTGAACCACTTAATCTTGAATAGGCACTCTCTGGTGAACCTACTTCATAGTTCTGCATAAAAACCTTATGATCTGTTGAAGCATGTGGGGAAAAATGCTTTCTTACAGTTGATTTTTTTTTTTTTTTGTGCAGCCAAGATGTTTTGTGCTTAATCTAATGAAACGGACAGTTGCTAAAAGTTTTTTAAGAAGCAAATTATTCACTAAACATTTAGCAGTTAACTAACCACAAGGCAGCTGGGGGGCCGGCCTGGTGGCGCAAGTGGTTGAGTGAGCACGCTCCACTGCGCAGCGGCCTGGGGTCCGCTGGTTCGGATCCTGGGCGCACACCAACGCACCACTTGTCAAGCCATGCTGTGGCAGCGTCCCATATAAAGTAGAGGAAGATGGGCATGGATGTTAGCCCAGAGCCAGTCTTCCTCAGCAAAAAAAGAGGAAGATTGGCAGATGTTAGCTCAGGGCTGATCTGCACAAAAAAGAAAAAAAAAAAAGGCAGCTGGTTGCCTGGAACAAATTAGTAAGTTGGAGAAGTCCTTTAATTGGAAAAAATTATTATTTCATGCCAGCCAGCAGCATCGTGAACTGGCACAATTTCTCTTTCTCATTGTCTCCGTTGCTTTTAAAGAAGTAGGAGAGAAGATTGGACAGCCACCCAATAAACTTTCCTGTTGCGATATCACGTGCCTGGACACCCAGTCAGAGATTGAGATAGTCTAGTAGACAAGGAAATGATGGTGGGAACTTGTCCAGTGCGGTAGATTTCCAGATACCAACGGTACTCTTTGCACAGACATATAATTTATGATGTGAGTGTATATGTGTGTACATACAGAAATAGCATCAGAAAATTTTTTTAAAGGGTATTTTCCTACTAATTTCATTCTGGAGATGTTTTATCTGCCTTATTATTTAAAAAATGCTTTTCAAAACGAAAGTAATGTCTACCTCTTTAGATTTATTTCTATTCTTCATTACCAATATTCTTTGAGAAAAGTCGTTGTTAATATTATATTACACTCTTCTATGGCTGGCACGGAAGTATTAACAATATTGTTGTACATGTCTTTGTATGTATGCAAGAGAGAGCATAAAGCTCATATCAAATGGAC